TAAGCCAGTCACTTTAAGGATACCACCTATCCATCTTGTCCTTGGTCGGCCCCTCTTCCCTTTTCCTTCCATTTTCCTCAGCATCGTTGTCTTCTCTAAGCTTTCCTGTTTTCTCACGATGTGGCCAAAGTACTTCATCTTTGCCACATCTATACTGATCATTTAATACAGTTTCAAACCAATATAGAAGAATGTAGCTTTGTTATGACAGAATACATAAGAAATCCTGGAAGTGGTTTGAGGACTGGATGGTGATTAAATAAACAGCAGAACACTGATGTGCATTAAAGGCTTTCTTTCGCCTGCTTTTGTGGAAGTTTATTGTTTGGCCACTGCACTTTGAAGCTAGCTCTGTACTCCATTAAATGGTCAGTGTAGTTATATCCTCAGACATTGTAAAACTGTTATTCTTGGGTGATGAAATGTGGGGCACCAGCAACTGCAATATTATTACTTTTTCTCCATTGGGACAGAAACCAGCACCATATTTATGTCCATTGATAACAATGGTTTCTTTCATAGTTGGAATCTTGCCAGGCTTGGCTACTAATGGCTCAGGACCACCACTAGCATTAACGTAAGTAATGTGTATGCAGTAAACTATAAGGGTGCTTCAAGAGGCGTTTCTTCTGCAACTGCACTGTATCAGTCATGGGATTTTTGCTTAATTGTTGTCTTCCACTTTCCATTGCTAGCCCTCCTGTGATTTTCCACTTTCTTCCATCTTGCTTCTCACCTAGAGAAAAACGCACCGAAGGTGGAAAGAATACAGATCATGGTTTGATTAGTACATGCTGGATACTCTCCAGCAGATATCCTCTGAATGAAAAATAGGGTTTGAGAGAAACTAGGAATGCACTTAGAAAAGTGGACATTTTCCCATTCTCATGATAGGTTGATTTTAGTCATTTTTGGTTTCTGGTCAACTTTAATGACCTGCGATGGATTTCAAAGCTTCCTGTGCAACAGTAGTAGTGCAGTGTTTCTCAACCTGGAGGTGGGGACCCTGGGGGAGTCGCAAGAGGGATTTTAGCAGGGTCGCTAAAAACCATCGGAAAACACATACGAGGGTTGAATGAAAAGTAATGCCTCCACCTTCGTAATTCCTCAACAGATGGCAGTACTGGTATGTGGCAGGTACTGGCTTGTTCAGTAGACTCTCCTCTACAGTTCCATTTTGGCAGGAAGCCTTAGCATTGAACAGTTGTGCTGTTAAAGTGCTAAGTATGGAACCCTGCACAGACGGTCTGTCAATGCGACTTAAGCAACGTGTAGTCATTGAATTCTTGACAGCAGAAGGTGTCACCCCAAAGGAGATTCATCAGAGAATGCAAGCTGTTTATGGTAATTGTGTGAGTACTGTGTGCCATTGGGTGAGTAAGTTTAAAGATGTTGAGGTGGGAACATCTGACTTGCATGACAAAGAGTTGGATGTCCTGTGACAGGAACCACCAAGTTTCACAAGCAAAAGGTTGACAGATTGATTCAGGACTATTGTTGTATCACTCAGAAATTTCAAGCATAATTGGCATTTCACAAGAACGTGTGAGTCACATTATTTCTTTGCTTGGCTATCAGAAGATCAATGCACGATGGGTACCCAGGATGCTAACACCTGAAATGAAAGCACACAGACTTCTGTGAGGGCTTCAGAAAACTTGTTCATCGTTGGCAGAAATGTATCCAATTGTCTGGTAATTATGTGAAAAAGTGAATAGTGGTAGTTAAAGAGCACATTCTAAGGATTATTTCTGCATTTGATTTATTAAAAGATTCCCATCCAAACCTAAGTAATGAAGGTGGAGGCATTACTTTCATTCAACCCTCATATTTCTGATGGTCTTAGGAACCCCTTTGGTAGAGAATGTTAAAAATCTCTCTGCCTGTCTTTCTCTTCCTTTTTGGTGTTGGTGAACTACAACTCCCAAAATTCTAAAACAGCCCCCCCCCCCCAACTCCACTAGTATTCAATGTTGGCCATATAGATAGTGTGCCAAGTTTGATGTTGCTCCATTGTGGGCTGGGTTCAGAATGCTCTTTGATTTTAAGTGGATTATAAATTCCAGCAATTACAACTCCCAAATGTCAAGGTCTATTTTCCCCAAACTCCACCAGTGTTCACATCTGAGCATATTGAGTATTTGTGCCAAGGTTGGTCCAGATCCATCATTGTTTGAGTCCACAGTGCTCTCTGGAGGTAGGTGAACTACAACTTCAAAATTCAAGGCCAATGTCCACCAAACCCTTCCAGTATTTTCTGTTGGTCATGGGAGTTCTGAGTGCCAAGATTGGTTCAGTTCCATCATTGGTGGAGTTCAGAATACTCTTTGATTGTAGGTTGACTATAAATCCCAGGAACTACAACTCAATACAAAATCAATTTCCTCACAACCCCAGTAATATTCAAACTTGGGTATTTGTGCCAAATTTGATCCAGTGAATGAAAATACACCCCCTGCATATCAGATATTTACATTACAATTCATAACAGCAGCAAAATTACAGTTATGAGGTAGCAACAAAAATAATTTTATGGTTGGGGGTCACCACAACATGAGGAACTGTATTAAGCGGTCACGGCATTAGGAAGGTTGAGAAACACTGTACAAGTGTTATTTTTTTCTGTTTGTAAGTGCCTTTGATTTTTCAACTCTCAGACACGTGACAGTGAAATGGACAGTTCCATCAACTGCACTGCTTTGGCAGCTCATGAACTAATACAACTACAGTAGTACTCATGGGATATTAACACATGCATACATAAATACAATCATTTAGTCAAGTTTGAAAGGCAGAAAGTACAATGCCTCTTTCATTTTTCTTTGACAGCATCCAGTAATGTTATACATTATTTTGGCAGCAGTCTGCCATTTACTTGCCCTTATTCAGTTGCATTTCACTTTAATGGAGCTAATCTGAAATACAAATGCCTCGTGGATTTGCAAGCTGTGAGAGCCACCATTGTAAAACCCCACTTGACACCACTTCAAATGCCATGGGATTTGTCCTGGGATTTGTGGTTTGGTGAGATACCAGAATACTTTGGCAGAAAAAGCCAAAGAACTTGTAAACCTACGGTTCTCAAGATTCCATAGCATTGAGCCATGATGGTGAAAGTGGCATCAAACTGCATTAATTCTACAGTGTAGATGCACTCCAAATCAAGTGGCAGTTCATGCACATAACAAAATAACGTGAGAAGGCATTTCTCTGTTGTAATAGTTTTTTGACTGCAGGTAAATGATGGTGGGTGGTGAAAGACAAACAAACTCGCAAAACTCCCTGCATAGACAAAACGAATAGGTCAACAACTAAGGTTTCAACCAACTCCCTGACAGGCTCCTTTTGAATGTATGTGGGTGATGTTTGGTTGCCATAGTTAACAGAAAGGGACTTAAAAAAGCATGTTCCCAGTGCACTGCGAAGTGGCACAATCCCCGGAGCATGGGGGAAGTTATCCCCTTGGTATACAAAAGAGGGAGCCCCCGGTGGATTAAACTGCTGAGCTGCTAAACTTGTTGACCAAAAAGGTCACAGGTTCGAATCCGGGGAGCGGCGTGAGCTTCCGCTGTCAGCCCCAGCTTCTGCCAACCTGTTGTTGTTATTTATTCATTCAGTCGCTTCCGACTCTTCGTGATCTCATGGACCAGCCCATGCCAGAACTCCCTGTCGGCCGTCATCACCCCCAGCTCCTTCAAGGGCAAGCCAGTCACTTCAAGGATACCATCCATCTATCTTGCCCTTGGTCGCCCCCTCTTCCTTTTTCCTTCCATTTTTCCCAGCATCATTGTCTTCTCTAAGCTTTCCTGTCTTCTCATGATGTAGCCAAAGTGCTTCATCTTTGCCTCTAATATCCTTCCCTCCAGTGAGCACTCAGGCTTTATTTCCTGAAGTATGGACTGGTTGGATCTTCTCATGGTCCAAGGCACTCTCAGAACTTTTCTCCAGCACCACAATTCAACTGCAACTCCAGAATTCAAGGTCAATGCCCACCAAACCCTTCCAGTATTTTCTGTTGCTCATGGGAGTTCTGTTTGCCAAGTTTGGTTCAATTCCATCATTGGTGGAGTTCAGAATGCTCTTTGATTGCAGGTGAACTATAAATCCCTGCTACTACAACTCCCAAATGATTAAAATCACGTCCACCTCAACCCCACCAGTATTCATATTTGAGTGTTTCAGGTATTTGTGCCAAATGTGATCCAGTGAATGAAAATACATCCTGCATATCAGATATTTACATGAGGATTCAGAACAGAAGAAAAATTACAATTGTGAAGTAGCAACAAAAATAATGTTATAGTTGGGGGTCACCACAACATGAGGAACTGTATTAAGGGATCGTGGCATTGGGAAGGTTGAGAACCACTGAAGTAGCTGGAGTAAAATGTGTGTTTCTTAGGGCTGCTCCCCGCTTTGGTCCCCGAAGTCTCCCCCAGAGGTCGGTTTGTTCTCTGTCTTTCCTCCCAGGTACCCCAGCAGGTAAGTTTCACCGCCTTCCCTGCTCTCCCCTCCCATTTGGGGGTTGAGAAGGGAGCAGAGCCAAGATTTGTAGGAGTCGCTATCGGGGCTCAGCTGGGAAAGCCTCCTTTCGCACAGAAGCAGCTTAGGCATCAACGTTGTGGATAGCTGGAAGGGAAAGGGAAGGGGGAGACTCCTGTGGGTCTGCTCTAAGCAGAGTGGTGCTCACCCCAAAGCCCTCTCCCCTCCCAAACTCTCCTTTCCGATCCCTTCCTATCCATCCTGTGGCTCTTACTTCACGCACCTTCCTCGGTTCCTTCCAACCTTTTCGAGCAGAGCATCCTTTGCCATGGGGGCTTCAGTTCCCATCGGGAGGCGAGGATGATGGGAGTTGTATTCCCCGCACATCTGGAGAGCCTTCCCAGGCGCGGAAACTTTGGTCTCCTCTCCTCCCGACTTCTCTTCCCTGTCTCCTCCTGGCTTCAGTAGAAATCCGCCTGCCAGGGAGACAGAAGCACACACACACAGAGAGCTCTGGAAGCAAGCAAGCAAGCAGCAGGGATGTTTGGGTGCCTCTTGGCTTCCTCTTCCCAACCCGAAAGACAGCAGGAAACTTGGAAGACCCTTCCTCTCGCTTGCTTCATGAATTATTTATTGAAGGAGACCCACAGCCTCTCTACCCAGGGATTTCAACATGGACAGGTGAAATAAACTCTCCTAGAAAGAATCTATCAGGCATTGTTGTGGCAGCTTCTTTCTGGTTATTGTTGTTTGTTTGTTTGTTTGTTTTCCTTTCCAAAAGTACTTAGATTATCTCTGGAAAATGTCAACTAATTGATTTTGGAATGGCATGTTTATTTTTAAATCCAGGGTGGATAGGATCAATGGAGATCGGTTTGGTGTTTACAAGCGCTCACTCTTTATGGAACTTTCAGCCAAGGTTTTGTAACACACAGCTTTTTTCCATGCATGTTTTCAATGGGATACACTTTTCTGTCCCATTTAAGAAGGTTATTAGTTAAGATTGGGTCAGCTGCTCTGGAAGAAAAGCCACAGGGATTTTGACTTTCCTTTCCAGTGACAGCTCAGCATGCAGAAAGGAAAATATGTTGCATGCATTAAGCATATGTTAAAACCCGGGATAATCTCTGTTAACCCTAATGTCTTTTCTAAATGGGCTGTTATAAATAATGGATCAGATTGTTGTGAGTGTGAAAACTCTTTTTTTTTGTTAACCCTTCTCTTTCTCAAATGTTTTGTCTGCTTTCCAAACATTGGCATAGATCAATGCCACGATCCCTTAATACAGTTTCTCATGTTGTGGTGACCCCCAACCATAACATTATTTTTGTTGCTACTTCACAATTGTAATTTTTCTTCTGTTCTGAATCGTCATGTAAATATCTGATATGCAGGATGTATTTTCATTCACTGGATCACATTTGGCACAAATACCTGAAACACTCAAATATGAACCTTCCTAATGCCATGACCCCTTAATATAGTTCCTCATGTTGTGGTGACTCCCAACCGTAAAACTATTTTCGTTGCTACTTCATAACTGTCATTTTGCTACTGTTATGAATGTAAATATCTGGTATGCAGGGTGTATTTTCATTCACTGGACCAAATTTGGAACAAATACCCAATACGCCCAAATTTGAATACTGGTGGGCTTGGGGGGGGGGGGGGGATTGATTTTGTCATTTGGGAGTTGTAGTTGCTGGGATTTATAGTTCACCTACAATCAAAGAGCATTCTGACTCCCACCGATGGAATTGAACCAAACGTGGCACACAGAACTCCCATGACCAACAGAAAAGACTAGAAGGGTTTGGTGGGCATTGACCATGAGTTTTGGAGTTGTAGTTCACCTACATCCAGAGAGCACTGTGGACTCAAGCAATGATGGATCTGGACCAAACTTGGCACAAATATTCAATATGCCCAAATGTGAACACTGTGGAGTTTGGGGAAAATAGATCTTGACATTTGGGAGTTGTAGTTGCTGGGATTTATAGTTCACCTATGACCAAAGAGCATTCTAAATCCCACCAATGATAGAATTGAGCCAAACTTCCCATACAAAGACCTCAGAACCACTGCACTAGAGGGATTTGGGATGAATTGACCGTGATTTAGGGGAGATGTAGTTCACCTACATCCACAGAGCACTGTGAACCCAAATGACTATGCCAAAGGGATTCCTAAGCCATCAGAAATATGTGTTTTCTGATGGTCTTTGGCAACCCCTCTGAAATCCCCTCGCGACCCCCCCCCCAGGGGTCCCGGCCTACAGGTTGAGAAACGGTGCTATAATGCTTAGAGGAAAAGTGAAGTAATTCCTCAAATTGTTTAACATTGACTGTAGAAGCCATAGTTTGGGGGCTCTCATTCTATTTTAGGGGCCGTGACCCTCAGATTGAGAAACACTGGCCTAGAGTTAGAAATGGCGAGTTGAAAAGTATTAGGGATATTTTAAATTGCTAGAATGAGACATTAAATATATATGAATGGACGAGAATGGTGAGATGTGAAGGACACACAATTTTAGTCCAGAATGAAGATTACTGAAACCGTGGGATGCTTAGGAAGAAAAAAAAAGACACACACACATGGATAATAGATACAATGCAGTGTGGTTCTGAGCAATAGCCCCATACAGAATAATAATAATAATAATAATAATAATAATAATAATAATAACAACAACAACAATAACAAGAGAAATAATAATAATAATAATAATAATAATAATAATAATAATAATAAGAGAAGCAACTGGAAAAGCTGACACGATATGAGGATTTAAAGATCAAACTGCAAAGACTCTGGCACAAACCAGTAAAGGTGGTCCCAGTGGTGATCAGCACACTGGGTGCAGTGCCTAAAGACCTTGGCCTGCACTTAAACACAATTGGCACTGACAAGATTACCATCTGCCAGCTGCAAAAGGCCACCCTACTGGGATCTGCACGCATTATCCGCCGATACATCACACAGTCCTAGACACTTGGGAAGTGTCTGACATGTGATCCAATACAACAGCTAGCAGAGTGATCTTGTTTGCTGTGGACTCATCTTGTTGTGTTTCAAATAATAATAATAATAATAATAATAATAATAATAATAATAATAGACAGCAGAATTGACGAGAAGCAACTGGAAAACTTTACACAATATGAAGATTTAAAGATAGAACTGCAAAGACTCTCACACAAGCCAGTAAAGGTGGTCCCAGTAGTGATTAACACACTGGATGCAGTTCTTAAAGACCTTGGCCTGCACTTAAAAACAATTGTCGCTGACAAAATTACAATCTCTTAGCTATAAAAGGCCACCCTACTTGGATCTGCATGCATTATTTGCCGATACATCACACAGTTCTAGACACCTGGGAAGTGTCTAACATGTGATTGAATACAAAAGCCAGCATACTGATCTTGTTTGCTGTGTACTTATCTTGTTATGTATCAAATAATAATAATAATAATAATAATAATAATAATCATCATCATCATCATCATCATCATCATCGTCGCCGTCGTCGTCATCATCATCATCTTTATTTATAGGCCACTTTATCTTCCAGGGGGACTAAGATTTTAGATATAGTACAATGGGTTTCTTAGCAAAACATAGGATGTCCCAAAATCCCAATCTGTCCTGATTTCAGCTTTTGTCGACTGAATGCCATTTGTCCTCTGCTTGCATTTCTCAGATTCCAAAGTACGTGTATTTCTCTTCTTAATTTATACTGCCAAGATTTCTCAGAGGAAGCTAACTCGGCAGAACACTTTAACAAGGATATAAAAATTTGATAGCAACAGAGAAGACCTTAGCCAATCGCTTTGTATTGATGGGGCTGGAAAGCCTGAAGAAGTAATGGAGAAAAACAAAAACAAATTGCAAATAAAGGAAGACTTTACATTCTATGTCATTCCATTGCTTTATTTTAAAGGTCACAGTTGACATTTCTCTCTCTCTGATTGGGAATAAATGTAGGGTTCTTTGACCTCCATCCATGAAGAGAAAGCAAAGTGTCTAGTGACTCAGTTGGGCACTAGCGGTTTTTAAAGGCCAATCTAAATACCAACAGTATAGTGGTAAACTTTCAAGGAGAGTACAAAAAATAATGCATCAACAAATGTTAATAAACTAATCCTAGTAGTTCTAGTAGGGGGCCATGGCGGCAAAATGGGTTAAACTGCTAAGCTGCAGAACTTGTTGATCGCAAGGTTGGTGGTTTGAATCCAGGAAGTGGGGTGGACTCCTGGGGTTAGCTCCAGCTTCTGCCAACCTAGCAGTTCAAAAAAAAGCAAATGTGAGTAGATCAATAGGTACCACTTTGGTGGGAAGGTAATGGTGCTCAATGCACTCATGCCGGCCACATGACCAAGGAGGCGTCTATAGTGTGTGTGTGTGTGAGATATATATAGGGTTTTGGAAGCAAGGAAGGTGAGGGAAAAAAGATCTGAGTGGTGAAGGGTGAAGAAGGTGAGGAAAAAAGGCTTTTGAGGGTGAGGGGAGGGGAAAGAGCAGGAAAAAGAAGGACAAGCTTGGATGGAGAGGAGGGGGAGAAGAAGGAGCCCCTCAGAGCACACTTTGGGAACTGCTGTGCTAGATGGTATTGAAACAGTATACAGGTGTCTAATCTATATGTGTAACCTATATCTCAATATCTAATTGTATGCATTGCTGATAAATCCAGGGTGATACAGTTGTTTGAGTGTTGGATTTAGACACCGAGAGACTTCAGGTCTCAATCTCTGCTCTGCCATAGAAACCTGCTGGGTGATCTTGGGCAAGGTTTGCTCTCTCAGGCTGAATGGAGAGCAATGACCAACTTCCCCATGATTAATCATGCCAAGAAGACCTTAGGAAAGGGTTTTCACAATTCAGAATTAAGTTGAAGAGACACATCATAGCAGCAGCAGGAGGAGAATTGCCAATGTACTTTTCAGTTCCATGTTTTGTTTTGTTTTTACTGTCAGTATGTGCAAACGATTAAAGTAGAAATCATGGGAAAGGTTTCATGTAAATAAAAATAATTAATTTTCATTAGTTTTGCATTTTTGAAATTTTTATTCTTCATTTTCATTGATTTTCATTTTCATTGATGTTTTACCTCGCTTATCCTTACATCAATTGAACAGAAATCTGGACATTTTTGAGCAACAAGTCCAACAAGCCATTATACTCGATTGGTTCCTATTTTAATAAAACCCTTCTGAATGGGGTGACATCCTGAATAAACATGATTAAGAACAATTTTAATATCCTTTTAGTGTACATTGTGCTTCTATTCCTGAGCTCAGGAGGTGACTTTAAGGATGATGAATATAATAACAAGCTGAGACCATGTATTGCTGAGAAGTGTTAGGATAGTATTCTGGCTCCAAGAACAGCATCCTATTGCTACAAAGTTATGAAGGACATTGATATTCCCTTATATTAATTTGTCCTAAAAGTCACTTTTGAAACTTTGTTCTTGGGTGCACACGAGAATAACCATGATCTCTTTCTGAATACCCAGGGTGCCAGTCTCTATCTGAGTTGTGTAAGAAGATGGATTTGCAGTTGCATTTCAACTGTCATTTGCTTTCCCTTCCTTCCAATTCTCAATAGATGTGAATGACTTCAAGTACAATGTTAGCTTTGGCACCTCTGACATCCTTGCCATAGATCTCCAAATGTTTCAGCATGTGTCAAGATGTAACATTTCCAGCTTGAAAAGTCTCAAGAAAGGTATAGTAATTCAGCAGTGATGGGGTGTGATATTCCTAAGATAACTTCTTTTAAATTATTTATTGTTATATATGCATTATGTTTTGTCATCAAGAAGATTTAAAGCTGCATACATGGTTCTCCTTCCCACAATAGTGTTAGAAAGCAAGCTAGGCTAAGTGAGAATGGGACTGACAGTAGTCAGTAGTCAGGCCTGTGAATTTTATGGTTCAGTGGAGACTTGAACATGCATTTCACAAGTCTAAATTAAAATGTCATTTGAATCACTTGTGAAAACTTTTTGGAAGTATCTGTGTCCTTTCTGTTTCAGCTTAAGATAAAGCAGGAAGCTTAACTCAAACATGAATGGTTTATTTTGGGAAGCAATGGGGAATGTCCAAACTAGTTACAAATTTGGAGGAGCTGCCCAAGCTAATAATAATAATAATAATAATAATAATAATAATAATAATAATAATAACAACAACAACAACAACAATAACAACACTTTATTTATATTCCGCCCTTCTCCCCGTGAGGACTCAGAGTGGATTACAGTGTAAACAGAAACCAGCAAACATTCAATGCTTTGTTAAAATACAATGAGACACACAAACACAAACAAAGGCAGAGGCTTCTTCTTTCATTTCTGGCTCTGGGGGAGGTGCTGTTCTCCATTTCCAAGGTGAGGAGCCTGTTTTGTGACCTCCTGGTCATGTGACTGGCGTGACTGCTTGGACCGTCTTATGCCTTTCCCGCTGAAGTGGTACCTACTCACATTTGCATGTTTTTGAACTCCTAGGTTGGCAGAAGCTGGGCTAACAGTGGGAGCAAACCCTGTCCCATGGATTCAAACTGCCAACCTCCAAGTCAGTAGTGCAGCAGCACAAGGGTTTAACTCATTGCCCAACTGTGGTCCTGAATTTTTTCCTTCAAAGAAGTTCACAATCTTGGCAAGCTGCTTTAAAACCAACTGGAATCTGGAACAGATTCATGCCCTCCCACTTCTGAGTTAGTTGGAGGACAGAGCAGGAAGTGCCAGCAGTTCAACCCATTTCATTTCACATCTTATTGCTTTTCTTAAGTTGCCCTGGTAACCTCAGTTGTTGTGGGAGATGCCAATCTATCACCAGGGTTGAAATAAGAACCAACTGCCATTCTTATCATCACTATGGGTGTCTTTTGCCTTAGGCAGCAGAATGTCTTGATCCAATTTTGTTCTCCTCCGCAAACAGCGGCTAAGATGCTTTGCAGTTCTGGGGTTGTTTTTTTTGGTGGGTAAAATATCTGTGCTTCCCACATATGGTATCTATAAAGAACAGAACACATAAATTATGGGAATGCACTGTACCAAGGCCATTGCCTTAGAGAGAAGTGCTATAGAATTTCAATAAGGCTAGGATGGCTCATTAGGTTATCATTGACTTGGACTAGAACTTGCCTTCATGCATGCAAAGTTGCATCTGAAGAAGCAATTCTCAGGGCATGTTTGCTTTCCACAAAGGGTGGATTCTGGTAACATAGTACTGCCCATGGCATTCCCTTGTATCAATAGGATCTACATCTACTGGATAATCTAGACAGTTTCAGTGACAGGCCCTGAGATGAAGATGAAGGTTGCAGCGTTTCTTGTGGGGGTAGCCAGAATATGGTGCACAACCCCTAATTCTTGCTTTTTGTACTGATGGCATTTATTGGAATTGGAGTCCCAAATCTCTGGAGAGTGCCACTATTAGCATCCCATGTTGGTCTGTTGGCTCAACCAAGTTCAATACCAGATAAGAGTTATTTTTATTATCACCAAGTAGGAGCTGAATTGAATAATAATAGCCATATTGTGCTGTTTGGTTTCATGACACCTATAGATATATTTTCCTCTGTGTAGAGCTTCCTTGAAAGATGTTGCTTTGTGGACTAGATTCCAGAATCCCCCAACCCAGCTCTACATTCTTAACAGCATTGTTATGATTCAAGGTTTATTTTGTTTTTTTGTTTTTTTGAGAAACCCAACACAGTAGGACCGTGCTCCTCAAAATGGTGCTTCCTAGACTTGTTCCAATTTCTTGATGGTTGGCTACTGTTGTATTAGAAAAACATCGTTGGCTCCCCACCTCAGATATTATTAGAAGTACTTTATTTATTTATCATGTCAGGAGAGAACCAAACAGTTGTATTGCATTAAAAACAAACAAACAAACAAAACACAGAGTTTGCAAACTTGGTATCTGATTAAATGTCCTTTGACCAGTAGCTGGCCACTTGGAGTGCATCTGGTGTTGCTGTAAGAAGGTCCTCCATTGTGCATGTGGCAGGGCTCAGGTTGCATTGCAGCAGGTGGTCTGTAGTTTGCTCTTCTCCACACTCACAAGTCATGGATTCCACTTTGTAGCCCCATTACTTAAGGCTAGTTCTGCATCTAATGGTGCCAGCCTGTTCAGTGCTTCCAAGTCACCCAGTTTTCTGTGTGCCCAGGAAGGAGTCTCTCATTTGGTATCAGCCATTGATTGAGGTTCTGGGTTTTAGCCTGCCACTTTTGGACTCTCACTTGCTGCGGTGTTCCTGTGTGTGTCTCTGTGGATCTTAGAAAACTATTTCTTGATTTAAGTCATTGGCGTGCTGGCTGATACCCAAACAGGGGATGGGTCGGAGATGTCACTGCCTTGCTCCTTTCACTATTGGTTGCTACCTCTTGGTGTGAAGTGAGTTAAAGAATGATGGGAGTTCCAGATAAAATGCTTCATGCAGAAATTGAAATGTTTAACATGAAAGTAGGACCAGTTCATAACAAACCCAACCTTTCTACTTGTACTTCAAACATGCCTCCAATTCTGTTGTCACTGTCACAACATACAGTTCTGGATGTGTTCTTCAGCCCACAATGGGAGCAGCTGAATTTCCTTGTTCATATAAATAGGATTGCTGAAAACAGTCTGACATTGCAATGCTATATATGCCTACTAAAAAACCCCCTATTGCTTTGAAAAAGACTTGCTTCCAGGGTAGTAGATATAGAACTGCAGTGTTAAGAAGGTGGGTGTTCTATAGAAACAAATCTATGGTATACATTTCTGTAGAAAGCATTGTTCCTACTCAACATTACTGTTATCTGTAATGAACAATAAATAGTTGAAGGAATTCTGACAAATTAAACACATATTAGAACAAGTTGCCCAGTTTACCTTGATATAATGTGGAAAGTCTGCCCATAGATGTTCTTCTGAGTACTATGGAATGCCTGGGGAATGCACTCCCCAGTGAAATCAGGGTGTCTCCTTCTCTCCTCTCCTTCAGGAAGAAAACTCAAGTCTTGGCTTTGGGACTAAGCATTCAGGCAGCTGGCTGAGTAACTAATGACTTGTGAGAATTGTCAATTAAGAGACCTTAGACTGGAACTCTGGACTATGATTTGGATTTGTGGACTCAGACTTGCTTGTGTTAATATTTTAAGGGCCAATATTTTTAATGTATTTTTATTGCTTTTTAATGTATTTTTTTATTGCTGTTGACCTGTTTATGTTAATTGTTGTGCTCTAACTGTTTCTTTGTCGGCATCTAATGACTGCCAGTTGTAAGCTGTCCAGAGCCCCCCTTCGAGGGTTGAGAAGGATGGGATGCAAATGCTCCAAATAAACAAACAAACAAACACTACTCCAGGTCTTCACCATAGGCAAGTGTGGTCTTCTGGATGTTGGATTGCTGCCCCCAGCATTCCTCACCAGTGGTTGGCTAGACCACAGTGGCAATTGGTTTTATTTATTTATTTCATGTCAAAAGCATTTCAAACATAAGTATAAGACTGATTAAAAATAGAAGGAGCACAAGCAGCTAAATATTTTTTGACCAAAACCAGGCAACAGTGACTGCATTGTCTGTAGCTTTAAACAATTCTTCCTCTGTACATGAGGCAGGGCATTGTGGACAAGCATGCAGGTGCGGAGTTGTGTGTTGTGATCCACAGTCACATAAGGTGGAGGATTCTTCTAGGTAGTTCCATTTTGCCAGGTTGTCTTTTGATCTGTCTACTCCACTTCTGAGTCTGTTCAGGGACTTCCAAGTTGCCCATTCTTGGCTTGCCCCTGGAGGAAGATCCTCATGTGTGTGAGGGAGCATCCAATTGGGATTTCCTGGTTTAGCTGCCCAAAGGGATGCTCTTGATGTTGCTTGGGAAACAATAAGAGGAATGGTGGTTCTCATGAAGCTTTTCCTTGATTTGGATCTACTGGGAGGAGGCTGATAGCCATGCAGTGGATGGCTTTCACAGTGGCAAGTAGCAGGACCCATATAAATTGGACAGCAATTTTTCTCTGGTTTTCAGTCTAGACTAAGGGTCCTCAAACTAAGGCCCGAGGGCTGAATACGGCCCCCCAAGGTCATTTACCCGGCCCTCACTCAGGGTCAACCTAAGTCTGAAACGACTTGAAAGCATACAACAACAACAACAATCCTATCTCATCAGCCAAAAGCAGGCCCAGACATCCCACTGAAATACTAATAAGTTTATACTTGTTAAGATGGTTCTTCATTTTAATTATTGTATTGTTTTAAAGTGTTTTTTTTGCACTACAAATAAGATATGTGCAGTGTGCATAGGAATTCATTCATTTTTCCCCAAATTATAATCTGGCCCTCCAACAGTTTGAGGGACTGTAACTTGGCCCTCTGCTTGAAAAGTTTGAGGACCCCTGGCCTAGACAGTAGAGGGCTTATCTACATTCCTGAATCAGTTTGAGGGATGGAGTTAACTACTTTGGACAGCTCCTTTACAGTTCATAGAAAAAATACAGAGGAGATTCACTTCTCTGTTGACATGGGCCCACCAGCCATTGATGCTAGGCTGGGGCATTGCAGTTTAACAGAATTTGGAGGACCACAAGTTGTTCACCTTTTGGATTATGTGAACAAAGCAGCAGACAATTTGATTAAAAGTGTGTAGAACTAAGAATGGGAACTTCCTTTTCTTTGGGCTTTAGCTGAAGAGTTCTGTTGGATACAAATATAATAATAGGATAGTGCCTCTTCTTCTTTCTCTATTGTGTTCTTCAAATACCAGCTCACACCAAGGTTAGCTCAGGCTATTTTAAAATATATTTGAAATTTAATTTCAAGGGTAATGTGCTATAAAAATCACTTCACAGCATTAAGCGGGTTATTTGAGTGTACAGTTTCTTTCTACTGTTTGAAGCAAGCTGCTCTGTTATACTGGCATTTTGAAGGAGGAAAATAAAGCCCTTTTGTATATTATAGCTGTCTGAATAGTCAGAAATATCACGGTTAAACAGTCCTATAGTCAGTTAAAAGGGCATTGACTGTGGGGGCTGAAGCAGGACTATTTTCTTGGTTTTCCCCTACTTGAAACATTGCTTCTAAAATCTCCTTTGACTGGAGGATATCATTTTTAAATCTTCAGTGACAAGAACAGTATGTTGCTGGTCACAAAGGTCAACTTCATTCCCAGGTGCAGAATGACTGAGAGGTGTTTCAGATGCAATATTTCCCTTTATGCATGAAGAGTCCTTCAACCAAGGAAAGTAATTTCTGTGTCACGCGACAAAGCCATATGTAGCTCTTTTGCTGTGTTTACTTAGTTTGGCAACTGTTTCACAGTGCATGGACATGCAGAAGAATATAGATAAGTGGATGATACTTTCATAGTTGCGCAAATACATTTGAGGATAATGTCCTGTTGTTTTATAAGAAAAGCAAGCTGCAGTCTCCATAAGTGATAAGATCTGGAGCCTGTCGAGATAAACTCTGTCATTGGAGAGAGGCAGGAGGAGATGGAGGAATTAGGGACAGGGAATTTTCCAGGAGGAAGACTGCTCAAGCTTGAGATGCCAGTGTGGAAAGCAGACTAATTTGGGAATATGAGCTTAGCAAAATATACTATTTAATTGACGACTCTCCACAATAATTGTGATTGGTTTTAAATGTTTCTAATGCTTAATATTTAGTTATATCTTATTTCTGGACATTATGATGCTTTGTGTGATTTTGTCTTGTATTTTTATGTTAAATGTGCTTTGATTTGTATTGTATTATATTTATACACTGTGTATTTGCAATGTGGCACTGAAGTGGTCAAACTGTAAACCATTCCGATTCCCCTTGAGAGTGAGAAGATGGGGTAGAAATATAGGAAATAAATAAAAAAAATATTATTTCCTCAGATCCTGTTGAATTGCATTGGCAGTTGTGTGATTTTCCAGGTGGCATTGGACTAAAACTCCAAGAATTATCAAAGCAGATGATCCAGAGAGTTGTAGTCCAACAGTACCTGGGCAACTGCATGATTTTTACTTCTACTGTTAGACAAAAATGGTAAAAGCATGGGCTGTGTGTGTTTCTGACTTTCCACAAGCCCTGTAAAAAGAAAAAATCTATTTGCAAACCACACTCCACATAACCATTTGGAGGCATAGCTTGCCATTGTAATTTATTCTCCTATGCCTGTTTTTGGGTTATAAAAGTCATTTTTGGAAAGCAGACATGACTATCAGAGATTGGCTTCTGCTGCAGTAGAGTATAGCAAATAACAATGAAATACTGAAAAGACAAGTGTGCAAACCACCTGATGCAACTGTGACACTTGTTTGCCCATACACTTTGCTGTGTTAATAAGTTGTGTAAGTTGAACCACAACATAAAATATTGAGCCCTTGGTGATGCAATGGGTTAAACCCTTGTGCCGGCAGGACTGATGACCAACAGGTCAGCGATTCGAATCCAGGGAAAGCGGATTCTGTCAGCTCCAGATCCCCATGTAAAGACACGAGAGATGCCTCCAACAAGGATGGTAAAACGTTAAACATTCGGTATGACCTGGGCAGTGTCCCTGTAGATGGCCAATTCTCTAACACCAGAAGAGACTTGCAGTGTCTCAAGTTGCTCTTGACACACACACACACACACACACACACACACACACACAGCATAACATATTGGACATTGATGTCAAGAGGCTTATGATTTTATAAACACTTTGAAGTAAATGTCATATCTAATGCTCATCTGTTTTTGGCTAAATTACACCTCTAAGATTAAGGTGTGCATTAGATTTGTGTAATATGGTAATCTTAGTGCTGAGCCAAAGTAAAGGGGGAAGCTACTTCAGGAGCACCTGGAGCCCCTCCTTGAGGGATGTCACCTCTAATTTTTGCCGTGGCTAAATGCTATGCTGGAATTTGTAGTTTGGTGAGGCATCAGCATTCTTTGACAGCCCCAATGATCCCAGAGTAAAGTCCCCATGTCCCCATAGCATTGAAGCAGTTAAATTCAACAGCATAGATGCACCCCAATGTTTTCTTTTCCATTTCTGAAAGCTTTGGTGTTCTAACACTTTTGTTTCTAGAGAAGGGATTATAAGCATGCAGCCACTGTAATGTTCACCTTTGTTTTTGGCCAAATTACAAAGAGTGCACTTTTTGCCACTGCACATTACATTTGCCAACAAATCCTTTTTTCTTTTGGTTTCAGTATTTTGAAAATGTAGGCGCACATTAGATTCCATGGCACATTAGACTCAAGTAAATATGAGCATATGCATATTATGTGACCACACATTATTTTTTAAAGAGGCATCAATGAACATTAGCAGTCGGCAGACTTCATGTTTGTGAAATATACTTTAGGTATATTCTGAAAGAGAGATCATATGTTGTAGTGGTTTAAGTGTTAAGTATTTGACTATGACTCTGAGAAAAGTTTCTGAATTTTTATTCAGCGAGTGAAACATACTGTGTGACCACTGTCCTGGTCTCAGAGAAAGGCAACAACAATCCCCTTTGACCAAATCTTGCCGAGAAAACTTGGTAATAGGGTCACCTTAGGGTTACCATACGTTGGAAATGACTTGAAGACACACAACCAAAATAATAATCTAAAAACCTCGGAGCCAGGTCCAGAGTAAGGATGCTGGAAGGCAAAGAGGGCCTAGGTAATCACCTAAGACAACAGAACCAATTTATCTGGGATACATAAACATATACTGGCTGGTGAGCCCTTTCCTTGTTATTTTTAGTGTCTTGGTATTTCTGTATGGAACAGGTGAGTGCAAGGTTTTAGATTCAGCAGAATGAAATGTCATTGGAATGTCCTGTTTCAGGCTCACTGATTTTAAAGCGATACAGAAACAGGACCTTTTGCCTGAGACTGGAAGGTTCACAGTATCTTGGAGCCCTCCTTAGAAGCTTAGGATCGAATCCTTTAATGGCAGTAGTCTGTGTTAACATTTTAGGCATATTCCATTGTACACATGAAGTAAGGAGGCATGGATGGCCTTTCTACACTTACCCCCAAGCCATCCTTGCTGCATTAGCCCTTTTGTGTAGAATGCCACTGTCTGCAGAGGGAAGCACCCCTCTCCAATGAATTGCTATCTATGATGTGCTCTTTGGAAACCTAGGACCCTCCTCCCTCCCCAACACAACATCTAATTCTAACTCGTTCTCTTACTTTTCCTCATTTTGAATATTTTGTTCTGTCTATAGTTTTGCATTTTCATCTTGCTAACATATCAATTTTCTTGCTTTTCCTCATAGGTGAGACCTTAATCCATGTTTTGAATTGAAAGAAGAAAGATGGGGTTAACTGGACGATCAAAAACAATAGGAAACTGGACAAGCCTAGCTAAAATGGACCTGTACTCAAGACTGAACTTGCCAGGCTTTGACAGTGATCTGCTAACTGATCCAAAACAAGATCTCAAAGACAGCACAAATTCGGTTGAGGTACAGATAATTCTTATCTGTGCCTACTGTGTTATTATCCTGCTAGGGTTAGTGGGCAACTCTTTGGTGATTCATGTGGTGATCAAGTTCAAGAGCATGCGCACTGTGACTAACTTCTTCATTGCCAATTTGGCAGTGGCTGATCTGTTGGTGAACACTCTTTGCCTCCCTTTCACTTTAGTTTACACATTACTGGGAGAATGGAAGCTTGGCCCAGTACTGTGTCACCTAGTGCCTTATGCCCAAGGCCTTGCAGTGCAGGTATCTATAGTTACGTTAACTGTGATTGCCTTGGACCGGCACCGCTGCATTGTGTATCACTTGGAGAGCAAAATCTCTAAAAGAATCAGCTTCCTAATCATTGGGGTGGCCTGGGGTGGCAGTGCTCTCTTAGCTAGCCCTCTGGCCATCTTTCGGGAGTATTTCTCCATTGAGCTGAATCCCGATTTCAAGATGGTAGTTTGTGCTGAAGCCTGGCCAAAAGAAGCTGTGGTCAGTTATGGCACTATCTATAGTATCTCAATGCTTCTGATCCAGTATGTCTTGCCTCTCGTGATCATCTCATATGCCTACATTCGTATCTGGTGTAAACTAAAGAATCACGTCAGTCCCGGGGCAGGGAATGATCACTACCACCAGAGGCGTCGGAAAACTACCAAGATGTTGGTCTGTGTCGTGGTGGTGTTTGCAGTCTGCTGGCTGCCTTTTCACATCTTTCAGCTTGTCAGTGATATTGACAGCAAAGTGTTGGATCTGCAAGAGTACAAACTGATCTACACGCTCTTTCATGTCATCGCTATGTGCTCCACTTTTGCCAATCCCCTCCTCTATGGCTGGATGAATAACAACTACAGAACAGCTTTCTTGACAGCTTTCCGTTGCGAACAGCGGCTGGATTCCATCCACCCCGAGGCGTCACCTGCACTCAAAGCCAAGAAGAGCCTGGAAGCAAAAGAGAATCTCTGCAATGGATCACCATTTTCACAGCCTACAAGTGTTTGAGAGCCAGATTGGATGGGCTGATGGAGGTGCATGAATGCTCCTTTTCATTCTTTTCTGTAGATAAGCTACATGTGCTGAAGAACATGAATGCATCTTTAACTTTTGGTGACTACCAGATATTGTGAGGAGAGGGGAATATGTACTGGAACCATGGGAAGAGGGGTATTTAAACTCTTTCCCTGTGCCATTTTCCTGATGAAATTGCCCCCAACTGGTGTTTAGTCCAGCTGGAAAAAGCATACATATACACTTGCAGTGTTAGGAAATCAGTGCACAAAGAGAGGATTAAGCACTTTCTTCAGCATAGTCCTGATTCATAGTTCATTCTCACCTAGCTTGGATTTGCACAAAGCAGGGAATTGACACATCTCTGTTGCATGTTTTGTTTGACTCCCGAAGGAAATAAATATGGACCAAGGGAGTTTGTAAGAGAACAGTTTGGTGCAGATCCTCCGTTGATACATAAGAACTTTTATGAACCAGAGGAAATTTGAGAAAGTTGAAGAATTTTTTTCTCTGCAGTTTGAAAAGACAACCATTTCTATTCAAGGAGAAGGTCAATTCCAAAGAAATAGGACAGAGCAGTCTGATTTCCGTTGCCTAAAAAGAAATCAGGAGCATATATGGTAGCGACACAGCTGAGATGGTTTTAACAGTGTTTCTATAAATAAAACAGTAGTGAGGAGAAAAGGCATTGGTATTAGAGGCTGACAAACAGATGAATGCTGGGAACACAGAGTGTAGCCCTTTTGGCTAAAAGATCAAAGTACCCTCTTGTGGTAAAGATGGAAATTGCTTTTGAAACTCAAGCTTGCCTATTTTGTTTCGGAGGAAAGAGGTTCCCAGAAATCAAGGCGCACAATGGTTTGTGTTGTGTGCTTTTACAAAGGTGTTTCTGTTTTCCTGTTGAGGTGGGACCCAAGGTTAACAAAACACAAACATCTACTTACAAGCCTTTGCAACAGAAATCTGGAGGACAAACTACTAATTACAAATGTAGGGTTTAGTTTGCATTATACATAATTGACATTTGTATAGTTCTGATAAATCCAGAGTGTTTATTATTTCACAATCTGTTACAGGCAATTTAACAAGGAAGTACTCAACATCCTATGGTTCTTTTCAGCCCTCTTCTAGAAGGAAAGGTTTGCTTGCAAAATTCAGAGCTTGGAAAATTATTTCTGAGATAAAACCATCCATATTTAAGCAGTGATGGCATGATGCTCTGGGATCCATTGCACCATCCTACCACTGTTCAGTAATGGATGGTGTCAATATCTGTTATATATCTGTTATATTCCCCAGTCTTAAAAGTAACACTCAACCATTGCTGCTACCTATTTGAGAAAAATCTTCAATCCACTTGGCCATTGTCCTACAAATACTCTTCTTCCTTCTGCCCGCATTTTCAAAGATTTTGTCCTATTTACTATAGACACCAGGATTATGTGGATGAGAAGTTGGTTTGGTTCCTTAGTTAGGAACTTTCCAAAATATGTAATTTTTTTCATAATTCTCAAAGACTGAAAGAAACTGGCTTGCTGGAGAAAATGAAATTCTCAGATTTGCCCATCCAGACAAACAACACTTAGCTCTTAAAATGTCAACTTTGCTTCTCTCTGTAGACAGTGGTTGATTTAGATTTGCTACCTCTTTCCCCCCTTGACAGGCTCTTGGTCTTTAGCACAATATAGAAGGCAGATGCAACCTAACCAGCTCCATACTCTAGAATACCTATAATAATTGACTTTGGCCAGAGCAGATGGCTGTAAATTTCATTCTGTTAATTTTGATCAGCTCCAAAATTTGCTATTTATTTTTTTTTTACATTCAACAGGAAGACCTTGAATGGTGAAAGCAAAACTGACATTTCTCCATCTCCGGTAGAACAAAGGCATGCTTATTTATTTATTTATTTATTTATTTACCCACCCTATTTATATCCTGCCTTTTTCTACATGGAAGGGGATTCAAGGTGGCTTTACATATAGGCAACTATTCAGTGCCTTTGAAGAACATACAGTTAAAATACATTTAAGCTAAAATTAAAATTAATGCACATGGAACATATAAGAACATTGCAGTCACTATTAAAATCATGTTATCCACAATTGTAATCTGGGGCAGTTCCAATAATCATTGCCCATATTTTGTAGCTGTTATTGCACTACCATTAATCTCCAAAGGCTTGATCCCAAAGCCAGGTTTTTACTTTTCTTCTGAAGGCCAGGAGGGAGGGGGATGCTCTAATATCACTGGGGAGGGAGTTCCACAGCCGAGGGGCCATCACTCAGAAGGCCCTCTCTCTCATCCCCACCAGTCGTGCCTGTGAAGGAGGCGGGACCAAGAGCAGGGCATCCTCAGATGATCTTAATCTTCTATATACATTGGGAGTGGGGCAAGTGTACTGCACAGATAGGATACCTGTAACATCTTTATGTCCTCAATACATCCATTTATAAAATGTGATTTTAAAGAGCCCATTTGTGTCTTCCAGGACCTGAGCAAGAAAACGTATCCATGTATCCCCAACCTGTTTTAATTTGGGTGTGGTCTTTCTCACAATTTTCTTCCCAGTTGGTGGCTTTCATGTTGGGCATGGTGAATCCACACTGGACTTGAACCCAAATCAGTTTGAATGAAAAGTATTTGTAATATTTGGTGGGCCATTTTGTCCAAAAACAGAACGGGAAGGAGGGACTCACAAAGCCCAGCAAAATGGATTAAGGAAGCCAGATTTTATTGGTTCCTGCATAGGAAGGGGTTAAATCTGATGTGTCTTTTCTCCCTTCCCTGGCAGCAGCAGTGTCCCTCCAATTTTCTGGGGAAAGTTTCCTAGGATCCTCCAGAGTGATCCCTGCTGGGAACTTGCTTTCCCAGCAGCACTTGCATAGGGCAGGCATTGAAAAGTTCCTCTCAGAGCATGAGGTGAGTTCAAGTTTCTCTCTGTGTGTGCTTCTCAGCCAGTAAGAAGCCTGGTTGTGTTCATATGTTGATTTGCTGGGAAGGACACAACTGGTGACTGCAATTCCTAGAACCCTCTCTTGCAATTTGTCTTATTTTTAAAAAGGTTATGGTTAAAATTTAAATTATTCTAAAAAATCAGTAGATTGGTGAATTGTTTTGAAACTTGGCAGGCCTGCAGTTGTAAATGGGGTCTAAAACTGAGGTAGGTTTCATGCAGATAGGCCTTAAAATGACTGAAAATTGAGACTTTAAAGTTTCTCATTGTAGCCAATGGGCCAAATCTTTGCAATACCCCTTTTCTTTTGAGTAACTTCCTAGTAAACAGAATAAGGTCAGCCAACAATGGGCCCTGAAATGGGATGCCTTTTGGCTGAATCACACACCTCTAATCCACATTATATTTGAAAAGAGCTGTCCAAGGTGCTAAACCCATTTTCTGAACAGGGCTAGAAAGTCCTAAAGTTCTTTCAAAGCAAACACTTTTACAATTTGGCTTTCTGGGGGTACATATACCCCCTTGAGTTCTAGGGAAAGATACATGCAACCTCAAGACCTTTGGAAGTGCCACCTGAGCTGCACATGTCTACTCAGAATACTTTGCCTACAACAGGTCTTATTCCCCAGTCAGTGAATATAGTAGTATGGCCTAATCTATATTTTCATGTTCTCAAGCCTAGCTACTTTATAGCCACAGTTTGTCCTCCCTGATTTCAGAATAACTGCATACAGCTTGTTGAGATGTGTACAAGGAGAATTTCATAATTGAAAAAAGAAGTAGTTGGAATTTAAGCTTATTCATAGAAATATATTAGTTGCAGAAAGGTGAGGAACAAATTTAAAATGAAAAAAGCAATATATATATACTACTGTACACACTGTTTTACCCTCCAGTCAATATTGGTATGGGTGTATAGTAAGGAATGCCAAGTGCTTGAACTTTTAGCCTGATCCATACTTAAACATTTGGAGGCAAGCCACTTGATTCCCAGCAGTGTTAAGTTGACTCAGATCTGAATGTTCATCTCACATGGGTTAAAGATTGAGCTGCTGGCATAACTGACTCACCAGGTTTGAAACTGTTCCTAGTTGCGATACACCACAATGGGATGGTATGTGATTTTGCAGCAAAGCTGCTGAAAGCTGATCATCTAGCTCTATTGCTATGTGCTTTTTGCTGTCTATGCTCCTGTGTTGCACATCTTGCCTTCGATCTTTACCCACCATCACACTCTCTGTGATTGAAAACATCCAAATGGAATGTAAACCAGACAACACTGTGCTGCTTTGTCATCGTACACTAACAAATGATGTTTGCATGCATGTTGTCTCCCTTATGCTCAGGTATAAGAACTGATTCTCTTGTAAATCCACAGCTATAAATGCTAATGCACAGTTCTCTGGTGTGTTTGGCTTGCTTTTTTATTTACTTTCAAGGAGGGGATAGTGACTCATGAGATCCATCGAAATCAAGGGGTATTGTCATTCTTCTCCCCATTTTGAGGTGCCAAATAGATGTAGACAAATTATCTGTCTTTTAAAACATGGGTTTATCTCATAAGTTGAAATGTTCTTTATGGCTCCATGAACAATTGTGGGATTGTGACAACTACAAACAACTGCAAAAAAGGTGGTCCAAAATAGGAATTCTAGGGGTTGCATTTCCAGAAAGTAAGATATAACATTGAGAAATGGGATGAGCAACTTGAAGAACAGTATACCTATATATTATGGATGTTGAGAATGGCTCATTTCCCTGCTACTTGTTCTACATGTATCTTCATCTGGATTTCAGTGCTGGAAGTAAACCTAACTGGTGATGTGAGAATACATCAGTGTTGGGAACTAGGAGTAAAATCTGTCTTCCTTCCCTATACATGACACAATACCTGAAATTAGGAAAGGTCATATCTGTAAACTGTATCATAGGAATCTGTTCACATAATCCTGGAAGATCTTTGAAATAATCCACATAGGTGCCGAGTATAGAAGTATAGAAGTACCTATGGCATTTCTTCTGGTAGTTAAAACAAAGCCCTCCATCTGGCATAGTGATAGGTTCCTTAATAATATTAAACATGTGATGGGGTAACTATGGACACACAGCCAGAAAATTATTTTATTACATTGTTGTCCTTAACAAATTGCAGTAAGCCTTGATTTGGAATCTGGTTTGTAGTGATTTGCAAGTTTCTCTCCACTAATGTCCTTCAGTTTGTCAACTAGGCACAAAATACAATATTTACTAGTTTGTTGTTGGCTTACACACTGGATTCATAGCATCATAGAGCTGGAAGAGATGACAAGGGCCATCCAATTCCACTTTCTGCCATGCTATGATTATGTGAAAAACGGTTTCCACTCATGACTCCTTTCTGCTAGAGAATTTTTTTATGTGATCCTGGATATAATGAGTATAAAAATCAAACATTTACTGAAAATATACTATTATTTGCAAGACTTGCTAGACAGGCCAACTTTCCTTGTTATAAAATACTGAAGGAGCATGCACTCTGCACGTTCTCAGGAGTCCCCTTCTGACCTAGGAGGATGAAATGGAAGAAATACACCGACAGCTGCAGAGTCCACTGGAAACACTGCTTATTACAGATTAATGTAAATGTCTAAAACAGCCACTAGGTGGCATTCAGAAAATTTTACTATTGCCATTTTTTATGACCCCCAACATTAAGATATGGGGAACATTTGGTACTGAGAGCTACAATTTAAGAAGCAGTGGTTGGAATCGTAACTTTTTGTGAACCTACAACTGGAATTTTTCTTTACTCTCGAACAATGAAACAGGAGATGACAGAAAAACAGGTTTTATTGGAAGGCTACTACAGTGTGTGAACACGACCATTTTCTATTATTAGTGCTTCTGCATGGCTTTCTGGAGCACTGTTAGCACTGTTCCACTTGATTTCAAATGTAGCCAAAAGGATTCACTTTCCTTCTGCCACCGAAAAAGACTTTGCTGTGGACTGAGAGACAGGGTGGTCTAAGGTATATTTCTCAGTCATCTCCCATCAAACAAATGCATTAGTGGCATATGATGAAATGTGTTACAGTAATTGCAGCAAAACAACAGGGAGCGATTGAAAGGGAACCATAGCAACTAACACAACAAATTACTCTTTTCAAGTAATGTTTCAAGCTCTGGTTATTATTGCCCAAAGCCTTCAACTAATTAATTAAACACTTATTTAGCAAGAGCAATGAGCTTTGCGCAGAACTTATGAAGTGACAATGGCTTCGGTTTCTCTTCGCTTTATTTTGAAAGGAACTGTAAAGAAGTTTTGAACTTTAAGGAGTGCAGCATGCTTTTTGTATGCCAATTTTGAATTTCCACTTCATTGCCACACTGAATTTATTCTCTAGGATGGCATAAGCTGGGGAATTCTCATCATTTATTGAACCCACTGAAGACTGTGAAGGTTGACAAATTACAATGATGGTAAAAAGAAAGAGATGAAGTGCTGGGAGAATGGAACCACGTCTAAGCTGAACCAATAAAAATGCAAAGAATGCAGTTGTTCAGGACTAATTACCCAATATTCCAATAACCCAAATGCCCGAGGATTGAGAGTATGGACAACTATTTAACTATATCTACCTATCTATATACCTATCTATATATATCTATATATCTATCCTCTATCTATATCTCTACTTAATAAAAGTGAAAATATGTATGTGTGTAAGTGGCTGGGGTGCTCCCACTTCTACAGGCTCCCACTTCTACAAATAGCTTTAACCCACAGTTCCAAGGAGCCACCAAAGGCCCTCCCTCCAATGACATTTCAGGTTATAGCAAGCACCATGAACATGTAGTCCAACCCCTGCCAATGTTCTCCCCAAATACCATACTGCCCACCACTCAAGGAATGCTTTCATTCAGGGACAATTTCATCCTAGATTTTACATGTTTCCTCCACCACAGAGATATCCCAGTGTTTCTTACTCTCTCAATTGGTGTGGAATTTGCATGATCCCACCCACTGCTTCTCTCTTAACCCTTTCCTACTCTTTTCAACTCTGTCTGCACAACAAACAGAGCAGAACTGAGAAGCAACTAAACATACTGGAGGAGTATGGGTGATTGACTCCCCATGATGGAAGTTGCAGCTCACCCTGCATCACGTCAGAGCACTGTGACCCCCACTGACAATGGATCTGGACCACATTTGGCACACAGAACCCCCATGACCAAAAAAAAATACTGGAGGTGTTTGGTGGGATTTCATCTTAATTTATAGCCATTGTAGGTACTGGGATTTATAGTTCACCTGCAGACAAAGAGCACTCTGGACCCCACCAATGATGGCCCTGGACCTAACTTGGCACACAGAACCCCCATGACCAACAAAAAATACAGGATGGCTTTTGGGGAAATTAACCTTGATTTATAGGTGAATCCTATAAATCCAGAGAGCACTGTGAATGCAAACAATGATGGATCTGCACCAAATTCAGCATGCATACCCAATATGCCAACATTTGAATACTGGTGGGTTTGGGGTGAAATTGGCCTTGAAATTTGTTAGTTGTAAGTACTGGGATTTATAGTTCACCTGCAATCAAAAAGCACTTCGCACACCACCGATGATGGACTTGGACCTCATTTGGTACACAGAACCCCCATGACCAACAGAATGTACTGGAGGGATTCGACTAGACTGACTCACCATGGTGAGAGCTGTAGTATGGCAACTGAAGAGCATACTGAACTCCACTGATGCTGCATCTAAAGCAAACTTGCCCAACACGACAAACTTTATATATTGATGGAATTTCAGGGAGTTAACCAGGCATGATGTGAGTTGTAGTACACACACAACATTATGCATGTTGTAAAATAAAAAAAAACTTCTTATAATAACCCAGGCAACGCCGGGTACCCAAACTTGTAAAATATAGTAAAAGTATTTAGAACTCATATTTGTTGTTATAAAACAAGTTTACACCATTGCCAACTTATTTAGAATGAACACAGTAATTCCATGCAGACATGCAAAATCCAGGCATAGAAAGTAAAAGAAGCAAAGTCATGTGTTGCGTCTTGTTGTTCAGAGCTATGAGTGTGGTACATTGCATCTTGCAAAAATGTACCAAGTAGATGATATGAAGGCCTGGGCATTATATGCTTATGTAGAAAATGTGAAAAGAATCCTTTTTAGAAAACACATCTTTCCCCATTTCTGTGTTTCTGCCACATGCTGAGATCAGTCTCATTCTGAAACGAGGAGATGAGGGACATTTTACTTACATAAACTCCCTTTAGACTGGTGTTTGGTATAAATCACACAGAATGAGGGAGGCATATTTCGTAGTGTCTAGGAGAAGCAGCTTGCCAATACATTCTACTGAGTCCTTTCACAAGTTTGGGATGCATGAGTGTAAATGTGTGGAAAGTGATATCCTCAAGACAGAAAAAACCAACTCTACATATGGCCTTAGAAGCCAGGAATCTGTCTTGTATCGAGTCAGGCTATTGAATTAGCTACAAGGCTTGGGATCAGCTCTCTCAGGATTCAGTTCTACTTGTGAAGGCTGGCAATTGAAATTGGGATATGAAAATCATCCTCTTCCATGGCTGTAATTGTTCTTTTTCCTTCATGTGTGGGTTAGTCTTCTGCACGACGCTAAGCCAATTCTGTTGCATATTTTTAGAACATTGTACCAGTTCCACGCTTTATATTATGTCAAGTAGGCATTGCATTTCCCAAACCGTTTTGCTACTTTTAACTGACACAGAAGGAAAGATATCCTAGGTAGTATTGGCATCCCAGTTTTCTATGAATTTCTCCTTAGGTGATACTTAGGGCATGTACGTGACACAAATAATGAAAGATAGTGAGCTAACAGAAGATTACTCTAGCCTTCCAACATGCCCAGGGGTGTATTTAGTTGAAAAAGAAAGTACAATAACAAGAGAAAGGAGAGAAGTCCCTCCAACTTAATGTCCAGGAAAGCTTTGCAAGGAAAAGAAAGTTACATTTTGAGGAACAGAAGAAATGCTATGCTTTTTTGAGCAGTCCTTGCCTCCAATATCAATAATATGCATTTATCAAAACCCTAAGAAGTTGTATTCGCGCATCTTCTGCATTTCCCCCAGCACGAACAAATCCAGAAAGCTCTCTGAAATGGAGCATCTGAAGCAACGGATGTGTTATTAATGCTTGCAAGTATAAGGTATGTATAATTCATGCAGCCATGCCCTGTGATGCACAGTCTTCAGATAGAAACATGTGAACCAGTTCCTGAGGTTAATGTTCTTTTTTTAGGCTGTAAGTGTTCTGACTGTTCTGCTTGATGAAAAGTGACTCATTAGTGAGAGTTGACACCTTTACATTCTCTGTGGGCTTCACAGAAAGGACTATGGGTACATAGAATGA